CGATATGTGTACTTACCTTTCGGAGAAATTCATGCGTCGATGAATACGGGGCTTCAACGTCCCTCCCTGGTAAGCCCCTTCCCCGGGCAGTTAAACTTAACAAGATTGGTTGGTTCAGGTTCCCCCTGGGGCGAGACTGCGTTCATATACCCTACTCAATCACAAGTTTTCTCATAAAAGGATTCTCTGTGTGAACAACGATTGTTGTAGAATTTAGCGAAGTCACCTATTAGTTTTTGGTGCTGCTGTTGGATTGTTTTTTTGTGGGTTAGCTGGGAGGGGGGGGGGAGGAATGTTGAAGCTTAGAATGGATCGGTGCATTATTTTTATGAGAGATGCTCTACTTCACGTACCACGAAAATGTTTAATTTATTGCACAGAAAACAAAGATAATTATGTGATTTCAATTAAATCTGGACGGAAGAGGATTTCACAGTAACAATTCTGTAGTCTCAGTGCAAACTAACCTCACTCAACATGTGAAGATTGTAAAGAGAGAATTTATTTAATGTACAAAAAAGCTGAATTGGTTATCGAGAAAAAGAATATTTTAACCGGTATTTTTCGGAATGAGGTGTCTATTTTAAGTTTTATTCATTTATATATTTATTGAGTTTGTAAATAGGTTTTTGGCAAGAAAGGGAATGTTTTACTAACGTGTTACGCAGTTCTTACGGTTGGGGTGCTGTTTAAATATAGTGCGATCTATTTTTTCGCCTCAAAAAAAGGGTCACTAACAAGCCACATTTGAGGGTGTTATATCAAAAGATGTGTTTTGGTAGATATGTAAAAAAATAACAAACAAACGAAAGTGCAGTAAAAAAAATCCTTTGTATCTCATCAAAGCAAAACCAGTTGAAACGAGTTATGTTGTCATGTTTCGAGTTGTATTTATTTGAAGAGTATTCAATTAAGCGTCGAAATAAAAATTTAGTATCGAAACAACCAAAATTAAGGTAATCACAGTGACCAATTGGAATGAAGGGTTTAAGTTATCATTAGCCAATGAGAACTCGGTTGAAGACACGCAAACTGCTTGAAGCGCGGCGGAAATCGTGATTGGTTTTAGTTTTGCATCTGATTGGTTGAGAGGATGGCCCAAGTTTTCTGGACCAATCACAGAGCGATGTGAAGCGAAACCAATGCTGTTCCAGAATACTTTCGACACTCGCTTGAAAATTGTTTTTCTACAAACGTCTGATTATTTTTCATCATGGTCAAAGCGATAAATAAATCGTCGGTCTGAAAATTAGGAAATTCTTTTTATGGAGGCGTCCGAGAAGCACCTGAGAGAGAGAGAGAGCTCACGCTTCGGTCGCCTAATTACAACAATTCTTCAATTCTTGATCTGTGTTTGAAGAACTTTGTGAACACCGAGAACCTCCTACGAAGGAGCTTGACCAAGAAAGAATGCAATGAGACGAAAATGGTACAGTGGTTCATAAAAAGAGACATAAGGTCTTTGATGACAAAATTTATTTATTAAAGATTCAATCGTGTCAACTCTTCACACCGGTTAACCAACTTGGCACATTAGATTAAGAGTGAATTGATCACATTTGAATGAGGTTCATTTAATTCAAGGTTCAAAGTTAAGTCTTGCGGCCAACGCAGGATCAATGTAAAGTTCTGTCTCCTATGTAAACGCCAATCTTCCTTTTCTCGAAAAAAATTGAGCTGACAACTAGCGTAGTCACTTGAATAGCAAAATGAATGAAGGCCCTTGATGTTCCTTCAGGATGTCATGCAACTCTTCTGTTACGCTAGGGGGAGACGTTGCGTGACAACCCGTGGAATGGCTGCTCGGGGACTAAATGTTGACTTGGCAAACAGTCTGTGAAACCATAGCACTGCTAGAGGATGGTGTAGCTGATACGGCCGGCATCGAAGATACAACTTGTGAATGCGTAGGAGTTACAGACATTACCGGACTGGAGGAAGGTGTGGGTGATACGGCTGGCATCGAAGATGCAACTTGTGAACTTGAAGGAGTTGACGACATCACCGGACTGGAGGAAGGCGACGGTGTAGGAGTTCCTGTTAATGATAAATAATACAACTCTGTTAGCAGTGCATCCTTGAACTAATTAATCTGCCAGCAATTTGATGTAAGTCTGGAATTGATTGGAGTTAGTAACTGCACATGATACTTACCAAAAACTAACTGTTGTTTTGATCGGCATATTTTATTATTCAAGCAATCTACGTTTTTCAATACAATCCTCAGCAGTGCTGTTTGTGATGAAAGAAAAACACAGTCAGTTGTTTTACATAGCCGTTAAATTAATAATCTTATGTCTTGACCCTCCCTTGCTCAGTTGTTTTGATTAAGAAACACGGCATGTATATACTTTATTTTATACAAGAAAAGAACTGAAGAAAAATTCTCTCGTTCGCCGGACTCTCCGAGTTTTTGTATCAGCCTTGTAACGTATTTTTCTTGTTGCTGGGATCTCGTCCTTTTTTTCCTTCCTCGTAAACAGATCCTTCAGCTATTAAATCTGGAGAAATCTGGTATATATTTTCAACATTGTGCATAACGCTGAACGATGTAACAAAAAACGAGTTTTTCCACGACCTCTTTTGTGCTTCTGCTCTCTGATTGATCATTGGCATTAGTCTCATACCCAGATCCCCAAAGGCCAAGAGGAAGGGAGGTTCCTACATTTCAGTTTCAGTTAAACGGTAGGATCTGGGTACGAGATCATATCGGCAATTGCCATCAGAGTGTAAAACGCGTTAAGTTTGATAGCAATCTTTGAGCTACTTTATTTTCATTAAAACAGACTATGCTACTTACTCTTATAGCTTGGGCAGTAACGGGGACGGGGACGGTAACGGTAACGGTAACTGGGGCGGCGGTAACGGGAAAAGCGACGGGTAAGGAAACGACGAGTACGTGGGGTATACCTCCTACGCCGCCAGGTGCTCCTCTTTTCTCTAAGATTATGGTCTGAAAAATACAAATGATTCTATAATATGAATACATAGATTAGGTCAGTGATAAAGGTACGGTTCCCTTCCAACTCACTTTAAATCGGTAGGAGAGAAAGAAATATATAGTTCTGTTCTGATCCTGAGCTGGGTGTTAATGTGGTGATGTAATGTGGTGATGTAATGTGGTGATGTAATGGGGTGATGGTTCTTTCGCTCCCGGTTTAAATTTTGGACATTTTATGGCTAACGGTTAATTTCTCAATTTTTAAAATACAGTGAAAACGTTCTCCGGCCAAAAGTTTTAGAAAAACATAAGCTGTCGGCTGTCGATCTGCAGCCTTCCTCGGATAAAACATGAAATGTTAATTAGTAAAATATGTACAAAAAGCGAGATAAAGGTGATAAAAAGAACAAATTAAAAATATAGAAAGGGTGGCTATTGTTTAAAAAGAATGCTATACTGATTAGGGATCACCTTAGAGTTGTTGTCTGCATTCTTGATAGCAGAGGTGTGCCAAGCCTCCAGGGTTTTACTAATACGAAAAGAGCCTTTGTCGATAATTCGAGAATAATTCAAATCAATGCGATGATCAAATGACCACGCGTGTTTCGCAATGTTAGACCCATTAGCACATGTCTTTACATTTCTAATGTGTTCTTTCTTGCGTTCTTCAAAAGTGTGTTCTTCAAAAGCAAGTGTGTTCTTCAAAGCAACGTCCGGTTTAACCTACGTAACACCAGTCTAAAACTTTTGGCCAGAGAAGGTTTTCACTGCATTTTAATGCCTCATCCTGGCTGCGCTTCAATTTTCAATTCTCAATTTTTCTTGAACGAAAATTTTTACAGTTACATTTTTCAAGTTACGCCTAACGGCTAAATTATTTTGCTTATTTGCACCTAACAGTTGACGGTTAACTTCATTGAGGCCCTCTCTGTTTCTCTGCTAGTGTCCGACACAGTGACTTGCTATGGCATGGTAACTCATCGGTAGTTACTCTTGTTATTCTTAAAATCCGATATCGATGCTATGAAAAGTCACGATTTAAAAAGTTATAGATGGGCTGTGTCGCTACATTTGGTCATGAAAACTACCTCCAACGTGCGAAGTCGAGGCGTACACTGTTTTAACGGAACCACGTACCTTGCAATTCCACGTCTGTATCGCTGATTTCGTTTTCATTCTCTCCTTGAACAAATAACACCAGGAATATGACACAGAATGCTGCCTGTAAACAAGAAAAACAAAGGCCATAAACTTCTAACTATAA